TTCAAGTCATTTAGTGTTCACCAGAATTCATTAAAACTTTATTCATAGTAGCACAAACCAGTAAAGAAGGAAAAATCATTTGCTTTCCAGGGTCATTTTCTACTTCAAGTCATCGAAGAAATCTAACAATGGGACGGATGTGAATGCAGGTCAGATTCCGCAGCTGCTCTACCGTATAACCTCCCAGGAAGGTGCTGTTGCTCCACGACCCACGCAGGACTCAACAGAACCTATTCCCATTCTCTGCAAGGCATTCTTCATGACTGTTAGAAATGTGAGTGTTAAAAAGGTTCTGCCTGTAGTTACCTGTAGAACATCATTATTTTTCCTTAATTTAGAATGAGATTTGGCATATGTATATGGTCTTTAAGAAATGGAAATTGAACAATTACTTTCCATATTTTGGTAGAAAATTGAGTTTGATTACATATCACAAATCAGAATCAGTCTAGTTCGACAATTTTCCAAATTTCATTATTTTTTTAAATCGGACCCACAATGAAATTAGATGATTTGAAGCATACTTTTTTCTCCACTTCCTTTACATTCAAGGAGTCCTGTATAAGTTGAGGGAGGATATATAAGAAAAAAAAATCACCATATGACTAATAATAAATGAGCTTATCAATCTCAAACTTCAACAAAATGGTGGGCAAAGTCTCCACTTCCTCTCCCTTTATGCATCATGGAAGGCTGTGTTGGTGTTAAGAAGCATGAACATGTGACACTCCCCGAGTTGCTGTTTTCATATAATAGTTTAGATATTGCTTGAATTCTTAAGAAAAATGCTTTATTCATGTTTCATTAGTATTCTTTGCAACACATCGGATATGTCATCACCTTCTTCTACCTAAGCTGAATGACCCACAAAAGTTTGAAATAAAGTAAACCTTAACTGGGTTAATCTTTATGATATGGACACACTAAGCAAGGGCAAAGTGAAGATGATATCCTTTAACCAATTAATGCCGGTATATTTTGAAGCTGAAAATAAAAGATTCCGGACAGCTACAAGATCGGCGGGTGGAGCTGCCCTAGACTCTGTCCGCCCGCCCACCGCGGCCTGCAGCTGCGTCGTAACATGAGCCTCGGTACAGCGTCACACTGGTGGGACGCCCGGCAATGTTTATTTTTTCGGGTGTCTCATATGTGGGACACCCGTCGTTAATGGGTGAAGAGGACAAAACTTTGCAATCACCAATACAAAAAGTAATCTGCAGACACAAACAGTAATGCCACAACTGAAAGAATAAGATTGTGGAAAGTGTCGCTCACAGCTAAAGCCCATTCAGTTCTCCTGAATTTCAGCTCTATCTGCCTGTGCATATTGGCAGTTGCTCAATTATGGCAACTTAGATTGTTGCATAAATTTTGTGATGTGGATCCTGAGCATGAAAATAGTGTCCTCTCTGGTAGAGGCCAGTGCTCTTCCAGCCTTGGTTCACAGATGGTATATTCCACCCTTGTCTACTGGTAGAAATCAAGCAAGAGCTCCTTCTTAAATGCACATTAAAGCTAATCTTCCTCCAAAAGCTTTGTGCACTCAAAGCAAGTCATTCACATTGTCTCAGCTTTCAGCTGAATATTTTATGGCAGGTCATTCTGATCATTCTGCCAAATTTTGCATGACAGCTTGTCATCTAACCCTCATGACATAACAGATTGGCATGCATATTGATGGATGTTGGAGAGACTTTTCAAAAAAATTGAGATTATCTTCGGCAAGTTGATCCCCATAAGGATTGTTTGACATTTAAAAGATAAGACATTCATTATTTTGCTGATGTATAACCTATACTATAACTGATGTATGATTTTATTTCTAAGTGATATATTGTGATATAGGGAATAAATTCATTAGCTAATTAGGGGTCCTTAGGGTTACCTTTATCAGTAAACACACTATGCAAGTGGATTAGAATTAGAGTTTATTGCTGGGCTAAAATGTAAACTCAGATAGTTATTCTTTATTCTATCCATTCTCCTCCCTCATCTCCCAAAAATCACATTATGTCCAAGTGGTTAATTTTTCTAGAAAGGTTTCTACGAGTCACAGGTGACTGAAGGCATGGCACATTCTGTCCTGATGAATAACTCCTGATATACATTTCTTTTTTCATTTTCAGGATGTTTTCCAATCATTGCTTGATTTATTAGGTTGGGCTTGGTCCACATTGAGATCCTGTGTTGGAGAAGTAAGTTATCAGTGCTATCCTTTTCTTGTACCATAAGAATTCTTGAACTTGTATAAATACTTACAGAAAATCATATTGAAAATCCTTTTTTCTTTCTTTCTTTCTTTCTTTCTTTTATAAAATTAAAAAAACAGCATTTTCATTTTGCTTTGTTTTATGATTTTTTACCTGGAATTTTCTGTTCACATTTTTGTAAAAATTGAAAAACATTTACGAAGGATTTTTGCGTGCTGCATTACATGTAAACAACCCTTTCTAAACCTCTTTTACTTCTTTTTGTAGCAATTCAGTCATGTTGGAAACAC